ACCATAAATACAAGGCATTAACGCGTTCGCGTGTAATAAAACAAACGCACAGACCGCAAAACGATCGCGTGACAACCCTACCGACCCTACCGTCTTACCCTCGGTTTTCTCAAGACACCGAGTAAACAGCAATAAACGCTTGCCAGTGCTTACTGTTAGCGATTTAGAAAGGAGTTTAAAATATTTATTTTTATTATTAAATTCGAATGTTTTTGTTGCTTCAAATAATCCATATTTGTTTATGGTAGGAGGATTGTATTATTTACATGGATATTTTTACTGTAGAGTAGTAATTAGTGTATGCGATATTTAATGTATTATATTTTTACCCAAATGTCAAATATTTTTCTACAAATGTATAAATTTACTTTTACCAAATCACAGACTTATGTCGTTTTTCACTATATTTTTTCTAAGTAACAACTACAGGAACTACAAAAAACCTTCATTACTGCCTTCATTGCTATATTCTATGAATTTTTATTACTACTCTATGGTTTCCAAAACATTTCTTTTTCATTATAAATATGAAGTTTCTGATTATTTAATCCATTCATAATTTTTTTGCTGTAAACTTAACTTGCATTTGAAAAAAGCAACAGCTGTTTTTCTTGCCGATTCTTCTTAGATGAAACTGCATGCCGAACTGGGCAGTTTGGGTAGTTTATAAAAAGAAATTACTATTAAAAAATACTTATTATTTATTAAGTTTACTTAATTTATTTATTATTATTATAGATAGTTTTAATATCAGAAAAAATACCCAAATTTGTCTGAGCCTGTTTCATTTATCTGCAAAAGTTTCGCAATTACAAAATTTTTCACCCAATTTCCAAAAATTTGCCAATTTGCGTACGTTACGTGGAAATAACTAGAACAATCAGTCAAAAGAATTATGATATTAAGTCATCTTTATTCGCAAAATGGAATAGTGAGTTGGTAACATTTTTATTTTGGGTATTATTTTGTTCGACAAATTTTTTTTATTTATTAAGAAGTCATTTTCAAATCGCTAAAAGCGGGACCACGAACAAACACTTAAGTGGATCTTTTATGCTCGGGGGAGCGCGACATGTGCTCCTTAAGATCACAACGTGGGTGGGTTAACTCTACCTCATTTTGGATTATATCAAATTAGCCATATTGCCCCTTGAAAGTTAAAAAAAGAATACATGAAATAAGAGTTAATGTTACTGAAAAAGATAATATAAAAATTCACTGCATTTATATATTTATAATATTACAAAAAATGAAAAGTATTTCTGTTTGTAATTAGAGCTAATTTCGATGAAATTTTAGCCAAAAATATTAACGTTTTCTTATACAGCACTAGTCAAAGTCACTCAACATATTGTGGAACTGAAATCTACTATGTAGATCAGTGATTATATACACAGTATACAGAGGGAAATAATTTCAAATATATATGAAAATCTTTTTCGAGGCAACCCTGCAAATTCAACGATAAACAATATCGGTAGTGAAGGGGTTAAACGAAAATGTAAATAAATATATCGATCGATTGCAAAAAATGACCACGATTTTGTGGTCGGAAGCTGTTTAACAAACAAACACGTGCACGATAAAAAATGTAAAAAAAAATATTACAAAAGAAGCATCTAAAAACTGTTTAGTCTGTAACCCGCAAAAAGATAACGCACCTTTCCCGGTATCGTTTTTTGTGCAAATGTTTGAATATTGGCCGCCAGTCCACCAACGTGAATTGCTAACATATGTTTTGAATAAACTCGTGCGTAAAACGGAACACCTTGCCGACATTTGTGAATGAAGATCAGCTGTAGTTTGAACGGTATGAAGCAATTTTTTTTTATTAATTCAGTATCTAATATATAATATATTCTAATTCGATGGCAGAGTAGTTGTTCTTTGAGTTTTAATCATAGATCAAATACCTTCAGATAGAATGTCTCAATACAAACGCTTTACCAAAAAGGGCCCACTTTTTTAATTGTGTGAATAAATATCCCTTAAACAATAATTCATAGCTATTACTCACTACGTGAAAGATATGTATTTTATAAAGTTGAGTTGATTTTACAACTCTGTATTTAAAAAAAGTGGGTAGATATTTTAAAGAACGTCAATATTCATAATGATTGTTTGTACCGACTGAGAATATACATAAAATATGTATTCGTTCAACGAATTAATATCGTTGTCCGAGTTATTGAAATTGACTGTCATTTTGTTTAATACACCTATATTAATTTGTATGCTAAATGTATATTATATTAGGTGTGAAAAAAATTTTCAATTTGAATATTTAACCAAATTATTCGCAACACTGAAAATGTTTTGTTTTAAATAAATATGTGTCAACCAAAAATTACTGTAGTCTAACCGTTGCTGGGCCGTTTTTTGGCACTTGACTCCATCTAGAAGTAGTCTTGAGACATATACCTATGACCCATATGTATACGATGTAGGTATGACTATATATTTGATGGAATAGATAATAAAGTTTCATACTTAGGCTTCCCTTCCTCTTTTATTTTTTAAACAAAGGCAACATCTAGATATTCATATTTCTTTTGCATTATTATGTTGATACAACACTTTGCCAGAGCTTATATTTGCAAAGTTAGACGAAGGAAACTAACTCAACGCATTCATAAGTTTAACAAACAGTTTAACGTAGAACTAACATCGTAGTTTAAAAACTAATACATCTATTTAGTATATGTTGTATTGTGTGAACATTAATTTAATTTTTTTTATACGTTAAATGAAAAATAAAGAAATATACTAAATTAAAAGAGTTTCTACAGCAACATTAATATCACCTCTTAGAAATCAAAATTGTGTGTTTATAAGTAGATTTTGCTCCACAAAAAGTTTTTTGCTCATCAAAGACTTAAAGAAAAAATTAGATACAATCGTTACAAAGTTAATAAAGGACTAACTTAGGAATAAGAACTATAGATTGTAAAAAAGTTTTCGCGTAATAAAAATAAATTGGTCAAATTGGGAATCTCCTCCTTTTGAAAGTTGGTTAAAAAGAGAGGGAGTACAAGATAACGTATACCCAATAATCGTTTTTGGTCGTTTGAGTAACCAAAGTATTTGTTGATAGTTCAAACAGGAACATATTGTGAGGAGAGGGCACTTGAGAGTGCGTTGACCTCTTGTTTTTTATATAACGCACGTCGAAATAACATGTTTATCAACTAGCACGAGATATCAACGTTTTACCCGTGACTTTGTCCGCGTGACCGGGATATTTTTACTACCGGGATATGTAGTTGCCTATATCCTTCTCCATCCTATATAGGTAGTACATGAATTAGAATTTTAATAATGATTGGTTAAGCTGTTAAAGCACTATAAAGTAATAAACAAACAAACTCACTTTCATATTTATAATATTAGTAAGAATTAAATATACCTTGATTAGTATTCATATTCACAGAAATAAAGCTTAAAAAAAAGTTAATGTAATTGTATTGGCATATTTTTATGATTAGGAATATTAAGACTTTTTCGAATATTATTACATTCAGAATTCGAAAGTATCGCACAATATATGTACAAAAAAGCATATCATATGTATAAAAAAAAAACTCCTGTTTTTGAAAGCGGTTAAAAAGAAATAAGTCTACCTAGTAGAATTTTTTAATAAAAATAAATAAACAGTGTGTTCTCTTTACTTTATGGGCGCTTCGGTAACCCGAGACACGACCAGACGAACAAACAAGATCGTTTGGAGGAACACACAGACGCCATCTGGCAATGCTAATGTTTCATTAATTATATTATTACTAGTTTTCATTTGATATCATCTTTACTCGTTAAATTTTAATTAATTAAATATTAAATGAAAGAAACTTAGATAAGTAATAGAAATTGTAACGTGATATGAAAACTTTAATTTTGTTTTTCATAACAATGTTATATAATTTATTTTGAATAAAAATGCACAAACAGGCGAGCTTAACTCTATAAGTGTTTTCTTCCAACAAACCCTAGAATGTTTCCCCCAATTTTACTCGTCACAAATATTCTATAAATAATAATAATAAATGCCACAAAATCACACCAAATTCCTGATCCTCAAGCTGGGAGACCTTGTGTTCTGAGTATGTGAAGACACGACCCAGAACACCCAGAAGCGAGTTAATTTATAAAAATTTGTTTCCTAATTTTGCCAGACCGGAATCCGGAACAATATTTACCCAAAACAACATATCCATCACTATACCATGAAAGTCTTTCCTTTCTTCAAATTATACCTTCAAATAAATAGAACTGTCTTGATATTTGTTTAGTAAATTAATTACTAGTTTCCCGCGTAACTTGAATAACTTATAAATTGTAGTTAATCTATGCCCATCTTATCGATGTGTTGCCAGTAATCGCATACCGCGGATAGGCGGAATTTATCAATTAAAGTTGGTAACATCTTGAGATGTGGGGACCGCACTATAACTGAAAACTATTAATGGGCTTTTTCTATGTATGCACACTATACTATATTGGAGTGTTATTTTAAATTCGAATTAAAATAGATTAATTTGTTTTATCTGCATGTTTACAGGTGAAATTAATTATAATGTGATATAATTATACATAATAAATAAATTATTATAATAAATAAGTTATTATAATTTAATAATTTAAGTTTGAAATAATAGTAATATTAAAAATAGAGTTCTTTCCAAAATTTCTGACACAAAAAAATAACTATAAATAATATTAAGATTTTTTTTAATTATTATTACATATTCAAAAATGACAGAAAATAAAAATTCTATTAGCATTGGGAAACCATGTAGGTTTTTTAATGCTAAAATGCAAGAAATACTGTTGTAATTCGTGCTTTATGTTATTAATTTAGTGACTATTTTCTTCATTTTAAGATTACAAGAATCGATAAATGAATTTTTTATTTTATTATGGTTATCTTACACATTACTTGTAAATAAATTCATATATCGAACACAATAAGAAAAAATAAAATAAAAAATATAAAATTCTTGCAGACGCGACCGGCACGCGTGCATTTAAAAAGAGAAGCAAAACAATAAACGCCATTAACTGCGAACAAAAGGAGTAAAAGGCAAGTCGGGGCACAATTAAAACAAGAAATAATAAGGAGTTGGTAATAATAAGTATTATTGTGTTAGAGATGACAGCTAGGGGGACCGCGCCGCTCGCACCTGGCGGGACACGCGCCCAGCGCCCCCTCGGAACTTCTGCCGATTATTATTTTTTTTTACAAAGATACGGGTTACGGTGGTGTACTAGGCCGGTCGAAGATTTAGTCTCATGTTGCATACTGGATTTTTTGTTTTATTCGAATTATTTATTACATTAAAAATTCGTTAATTAAAAAATGAACAAAAAATATATATCTCTATTACATATTTTTTTTTAGTTTTCTTGAAGGATAAGTATATAATGGATATAAAAAAAAAATGTAAAGTAATAAGATTTAAAAAAATATTATGATTTGTTAACAATCAATAAACAAAAAAAATATTGATACAATATTTAAGAAAGTTTTTATTTGTTAAAACTGAGGAATGTAGTTATGATATGTCTCTCAAACTAACACTTAAAGTAAATTATATTCATTTTATTTATATTTTTATAACTAGGTGTATCAAAATGAGATTAATTTAAATACCTATCTTGTACTTAACTCCCTATTCATTTATCTGTCACCTGTCTCTTAATATGCTAATTTAAATTCAATAGGAAGCCAAGACATGCATTTTGACCTCAGCATTCTGATATACATACATAAATTAAAACATTATTCCCTATACGTCCTTTGAATACGAACGAGTAAGTCACTGCCATCTGTCTTTAACACCTGGCCAAGTACCCTATATTTCTACTGCAGTTCTGTTCCACTTTTGTTTGCATTTAATAGGAAAATATTAACACTATTATTCTTATGTTTTAATAGTGTTTTAATGTAGATAAGTAATAAAAACAAGGCTAGGTACTTAAAAAAATTTTTTGGACTTAATTTTAATAAATAATTGTCACCCTACCAAATCTTTTAATGAGTATTTTATGTCAAAAAATAGAGATTGCAAAATGTTAAATTAATATGTAATATTATAATGTTTATTAAAAAAATTAAAAATGTATTACCAAAAATGTTATTATTCATTAATAAGAAATAACAATTGTTATTGATTTTTGTTACAAAAATATGCAAAGGATTGTTAGACATGCCCCTTATACATATAAGAATTGTTTCTGTTTGTATAATCCTTAGACATTCGTATATTTACAGTTATTTAATGAATGATATTACACCTGAACTAAATTTTTTTTTAGAAACTTGACTGATTTATTACTAATTATCTGAAATTAAAACAAAATCACATTTTCGTCTGATATATAAAAATATTCACAGTTTTGGAGAGAAATGATTTCGTGGTCCGTGATTCCAACACAACAAAGTCCGTACAACACCTCAACAACAATTACTCATTGCCGCACACTAATTACAGTCAATTACCATAACACATCCTTATGTACAGGTGTGCCAACCTTTATAATATAATTGCCGTGACTTCAGGAAACGGAAGCGGGCCGGCCAATCGCGCGCCGTCACGGATTGCGCGCCAATGGGCACGCACAATAACTATCAAGTTGTAAGATGAAAAATCCGGTTATTACCGGTTATTAAAATATTGAATTGTCTAATGTACTTATCTCCATGTTGAATTATGAATGTGGAAGGCGGCGTACTTATGATTTAATACTAATTTTTAGTTGTATTTTTAATTTATCTAATTGAAATTATTGGTCTTCTTTAAGAAACAAGAATAGATTAACCATTTTATATATGATATGTAGATAAAAAAGTCTAAATTTAAAATAAACAAATAAAAAAAAACTGCCTAAAATTGTATTGTATGTGGATAACGGTAGATTAACATCAATTATAGAGATATACGCCTAACTAAATGTGATAATAAATGACACTAGATTTACAAAAAAAAAAAATAAGAAACGGAGTCTTAAAACTTATAATTTCAAAATTTTTGAACAATCATCACTTAAATTTCTTTCTGTTTTTACCTAATGATTAGATGGTCGAGAATGCAATATGGCATTAAGCTCGCCATTTGTACAAATTTTATTGGGCAATAAAGAATAAATAAATAAATTAAATATTGAACCTAACAATATGGCTTTCTCTTTATGAAATAAATAGCTTTTTTTAATAATCCTTACTAATATTATAAATGTTGTTTATTTGTAAGTTTGTTTGTTACCATTTAGAGTTTTAACGGCTCAATCAATCATCACAGCAATTTTTATCACTGTATTTTATTATGCAAACAAAGTCGCAGTTAAAGACTAGTACCTATGTATATGAATAAGTATAATTAATATCCCTAAACTATTCGTGTTGTTACAAACGCCTTATAGTAGATGAGTTCGCGGTTTTTCACAAAAGAAAATATACGACAATGGGCCAAGTTGCCGCAAGTCGCAAATTGCTAGCGAGCGAAACGTCGCAAATTGAATGCCGAGGTGTGAGGTACAGAATGCGGGAAACATAGGGGATTGTTTTCTGTGCGCTACCGTTGCGGGTGGAAATGCGACACGCGTAAAATCGTCACTTCTTACCAATTTATTTAGTTTGTATGTTTAGTTTTCGTCTGGAGACAAGGATAGCAATTACAGTTTCTAATTTAAGATCCAATAACCTTAGCCTATGAGAGTAACAATTATTATATGTTCTATGAAAAATATAAATTTTTATACTTAATTTATAGTTAGACTGATGGTTATTTGACGATTTCTATCAAGTAAACCGTAATCTTGTTATTATAATATAGAAAAATAAAAACTAATTTCAAGTTACATAAATGTCTATATATACATTGACATATATTAAATGTAAACTAAGTACGTCCTTTATTTATGAAAGGATAAAGCAAATAAATATTTATTAATCCTAGTAATGTAGTTCATTATAATACAATTACATTATCAATTATATATCAATACTAATTACATTATCAAATTTTAAAAATTACAATTGTTTTAAAATGCTTTTCTATGAATTTATATAAATAAATATGAATTTAAATATTATTGTAAATTATAATTTAATTACTGATGGCCAATAAACTGCTGATATTTTCTATTCAAGCGGGCACGGTAGTGAAACTATCCCGTGTGTCCCTATTAAGTGAGCACACATTAGTACGGTAACTTGGGCACGACACCTCACGCGTCGACACTTACGAATAGCTGCCGTAAAGAGTTGCGAAGTTTTCACATTAGGCCTGTGCTAACATTGAAAAAGCGATTAGAAGTGTCTTTCAAGATGAAGAATAGACTACATTGTTTCTCCTAATTACTTATAACTAATTTGGGTTATTTTTAACAAACTGTCAATAATCCTTATTGACAGTTTGTTAAAAATAACCCAATGATATCCTATCATCAGAAGTTGATTTTTTTATTGCTACGGGTAAATATAATATTAGCTGCCCTTACCTGGTGCACACCAGGTACAGTGTATTATTATTTATTAGTTAGTGTATTATTATTGATTAGTTGTGTCCTGTGGTTTTACCCGCGTGAATCAATATATACAGTATCTTATATGCTAAGTTAGGATAAAACCTACCCGTGTACCAAATTGAATTCAAATCTGTTCAGTAGTTTTTACGTGGAAAAGTAACAAACATTCATCCATTCTTTCATTCTAAGTTACAAACTTTCGTATTTATTATATTAATTGGATAGGACAATATAGAAAAAATGACGATTAAGTACTTTTCTTTTTTGTCTGCCTCAAATAGTCTAATGTTTTCGGTTTGAGCTATAGCCTTGCTGGCCTCTGCCTCCCTGACCCTCCTACTAAATGGTATAATTAATATTAAAAAAAATGTAGCTAAGTGTTTAGATTAGTATATAGTAATTTGAAATATGTGTTACTCCATCATGTTTAAACAGCTATGAATGAAATTGTCTACATATATGAATGGACCAAAGCCTAAATACACAAGATACATTTTATCCTAATTCACTTGAGCAAATCCACGAGATAATCCTGTGTATTGCTAATACTGTGTATTAGTAATACACAGTAAAACAACGTAGACGTCTGAGTTTAAAAACAGTGTCAACAGAATTTAAATTCATAAAAAGTATCGAACGCAACACGACTAACGACGTTCGGAATTTAAAATAAAAGTCAGCATAGAATCTATGTGGAGTTATTTTTTTTAAACTTCTACCATAGACAAAACTATGTTCAATAGAGCGGGCGGTCTTAATGAACTCTAAGATCCCGCTCCATCGCTCTCGTTCTTGATTCCGAACGTGCCCGCCGTTAATGAGATCCACCTTCTGTCTACGTACAATATACGACGCGATGCGTGAACTTCTTTTTTTAGATTTTAGGGTTCCCTATCTAGGTGAAACTAGTTTTTTTTTTGTTTTATTCTTTTCACGAGTCTTTCGTTTACTTTTGGTATCAACGATGATTTGAGATCCAAAATAGTTATTAAAATTTTAAATTCTTTCGACGTGTTTTTCTATCAACTTCATAAAAGGTTTGTTATGTTTACCTCACAATCTTGTCATTTATAGACTAATTTGGAAAAATCCTTTTTATCCGAAAGGATATAAGACTTCTATTAGGCTTCTATAGACTTCTATAGGATTCTATAGAAGTTTTATCAAAACCGATTATGTAGTTTAGTTTTTAAATCAAACTAACTGGTTTGATTTAAAAACTAAACTATACCACTATTAAAAAATGTTGTTTTTTTTTTGTAGAACAAATTTTTAAATTATTTAATATGACGGGTACCGATTCATTATAGATTGAAATACGAGTAGCCTATCAAAAGATTACAATGATGGTCATAACCACATGAGGATGTTAAAACATTTCCAAATCCAAAAAAAGTCAAAATTAATTTTCTTATAAATTTTCTAGTACTTTACAGCAGGATGAGAGATTTACAGCCTTATTTTGGATATAATACGTTTTAATTTTGAAAATAGAATTACTGTACGCTTTATCGACCCATAGACATTTCTACGGAACACATATTTATAACTCCGATTTACACTTGCAACATTTTTTCTAAACTGTTTCAAGGGTCGTTCGTATTCAGCCCTATGGATTCAAAAGAAACGGTTTAAGTAATGATTCTACGTGGATGCACGAGATTATGCGAAACGGAATGCTTTCAATTTTTTTTTAATTTTGTTAGTGAGTTATTGTCTTTTGGTAGAGTCTTCTGTGTGTTTGTCTTTGCTTGAACCTCTTTGAATATATACTTAACGACGAAATCTGAATTTATATACATACTTGTAAATAAATTCAAGTAGATAAATTAAAGAACTAATAATAAAAAAATTAAGATTTTTCTCTGTAAAAAGCAGTTACTTCATTCAGTACTAAATTAATGCACAGAATTAATCCATTGATTGCAAAAAGATTTATGAAAATAGATTCAGCTTCGTAATCCAATGTAACAAGGAGTAACAAAACTACAATATTTTATTTAATAAATATTGTTTTAATATTTGTTTTTATATAATTGGAGTCGTTAAACAATAATTAAATATAATTTTATTAAACACAAAAGTTTATTCAATTTTATTATAATATCTATTTATTTTTTGCATAATTTTTTTATTTATTTATTACACGGCGTAACATAATACGCCGACCCCAAATAATAATTGATAAGGGTAGGAAGATAATGACTATGACTTTTTGCATTGTTCAGTAAAATTGCCGTGTGGTCCCGGCATAGAATGGCCTTCCTTTCCCGTGGGCGTTGTAAAAGACGACTTACATGAACTTAATAATCGAGGAATGAGCAGCAGTGTTCTTCTTAAAACGTCACCAAAGCCTAACTGTGGTTGCCAACCCGTCTGCCAAACGTGGCAACTGCTGGCAAAACCCCTATTATGAGATGCTTATATTCAGCAATGGGCAGTTAAGGGCTGATGATGATTATTATGATACTCAGTAAAAAGACGATACATATATAGATGTATAGAAGATCAAAGAACACATACGAATACACTAAAATAGGTACCTTTAGTACCTAAGTTATCTACTAAAGACGAACCTCCTCAACATTCACAGTAATTACGAGAAATAAAACTGTTCCCTCACTAGCAAAAAGACAATTTTAAAAGGTACAGACCGCAAAGACCGCATCTCGCTCTCCATTAAAACTAAGAGGGACTTAAGGCTCGAGTGAGATGCGAACCGTGCCGTTTTACACTTAAGATGCTGTGCTTTCAATAGGTACTCTTATACTTTATGCGAACTTGGTACATATTTAGTTGCAGCTAGGATTCTTAGATTATAAACACAGACTGAAACCATATAAATGCTTCACCAAAAACAGGTCAATCTTTTTATAGATAGACATAATAGGATATTAGACTAAACATAGGAAATATTTCACTAAGAAAACAATGGGCAGCCTTATCGCTAAGAGCGATCTCTTCCAGGCAACCTTTGGATGGAGAAAAGTCAGGAAACTCAGTTAGTTTTTTTTTAAATTAGTATAGAGATACGCATACGTACAATAATATGAATATATAAATATACATATATTTTTAGTTACTAATACATACTTAAACAAATCCATATATACATATAAATATATAATTACATATACATACATATGTAATTCCAAAATTAAAAATAAAAGCAATTTTTGTGTGTTTTTTTATCTAATTCATTAAATCCTAAAACACAGCACTCTCCTTCCTAAAAGACTGGCAACATCTGCATCTTAATTTTAATTAAAAAAGATCTATTTTTTACTATTAGAAATTTAGTCCTTTTTCGGTCGGTGCTCTCTTTCGCTGTGATATCAAATAGAAATGCCTATGCGTGCTATCACTGTATCCACTGGTATTTTTTTTAATACAAAATTTAATTAATATCAAACGAAACTATATAGCTTATTTGCCACTTTTGTGGTATAAAAAAAACATAATACCTTTGTATCATACTTAATCAAAAGAAAAAATATATAAGTGTGTTTTCGATGTTCAATGTTGGATAACAAGTGAGAGGTAAATTTCTACTTACCTAAATCAATTTCAAATTACATATATCGATGCCACCGGAATTATTCTCGGTAATGTTGGTCAGGATCTGAAAACAAATTTATACCTGCATTTAATACACTTAAATCGTTTGTTATGAAAGAATATATGTAATTGTAAATCGATAAAATAAAGGGAAAAAGAAAAAAGTAAATAGCAACTAAAGGAACTTAATGGTAGAGGGATGAACAGCAGCGTCCGCCTTAAAACATCTCTAAAAGTCTAATTGCGTTTGCCAACTCGCCTGTCAAGCGTGGCAACTACTGGCAAATCTGCCTTTATGGGGAAAGGCTTATGTTCAACACTGGACAGTTAACGGTTGAAATAAAAAATTAAATGAAATTGACAAAATAGCGATAGATTCATGAAAAAAAACAATACTTTTTATAAATGTTCATAATTAAGTTTGTTTAAATAAAAATATTAAATAAATAAATATTTATTTATTATTATTTATATCAAGCAACAAAGATAGGTTCTGTATGTACCTACTTAATGTAAGTTCACGTATTTTTTAATATATTTTAAAGTATTATTAGGTAATCTTTAAACGATTTTGAGGAAATTTCTTTGAGACCAATCTGTAAGTATGTCCTTTCAGGTAAAAAAATTTCCATTCCATTTATAACTCTGACGGACTTATAAGGTGACAATCATAAAAAATACAATTGGTTTGGGAACGTCCTTCTTTTTTAAAGTTTATTTATTTATTTATAACAGATACACCAACAGTATGTTCACAATAAATAAATAGACTAGATGAACATATAAATTAGAGGCTCTTACAGATAAGTGTTAATGTATATACATACTAAAGTAACAATCATACAATTAGTGAAGACTTAAATAATAATCTATATCAGTGTTTTTCAATCTTTTTCATGACGCGACCCCCTTAGTATGTAAAAATATTTTGCGACCCCATACCCTCCACGGTTTCGAATGTGTATGAATTTTATTATAGTACAATTATGAAATCCGTACAGTTGTATTTATATTCACAGTTAGGTATCGATAAAATAAAATAAACAATACATAATGAAGTATCTAAAACAGACATGTAATCGATGTCTGTTATAGATACAACATTATGTATTACACCTATTCCCCGATTTACACGGTACTTGTTTTACACGTTTTCGCTTTTACACGGTTTTCCAAATAAGTTTTTTTTGTTTTTATCGCACTCTACTAAATGCTACTGTGTTTGAACACGTGCTCAATATGAAGAAGTTCACAAAGATCTTACAAAAAAATCGAAGCAATTGTTAATAACCGATTTTATTACCACCTCTCAGAATGTAAATATTTCTGCTTCAAACATCGAATCGGCACAAATAACTTCGAGTGATGAAAGTGAATTCCAATCTTCGATTCCGAAAAAAAGAATGAGAGTAATTTCTGATAGTGATGAAGGATAATAAAACACCTTTGGGTTTATTTTTTGTTCTTCTGTTTAATGTATTGTAATTAAATAACAAAACAGTGTTTCCGTAATATATTACATATTTTAACCTGTCAATGCATTTTATTTTTATTTCTGTGTACACCTAAAAATATTGAAAAAAATCACAACTGTTAAATAGCAAAATTATGCATTTTCTGCAAGCTTTTCGATTTACACGGTTTTGACTTGAAAATTTTAAATTTTCTATTTACACGTTTTTCTCAGGAACGTATCTACCGTGTAAATCGGGGGATAGGTGTATTGATTGATTGATCTATTTACGGAACTGTTTATTTTTCATTGCTTCGCGACCTTCCGCGACCCTCTTGTAGAGGCTCGGGGACCCCCCAAGGGGTCGCGACCCACACTTTGAAAAACACTAATCTATATTAGTAATAAGCTTAATAAACTGCGTTAAAGAATTACCAAAGATGTCGATATTATATACATATTATATATATAAATATATATTATATATATATATAAATATATATTATATATATATATATAGATATAAATATATATTATATATATATAAATATATATTATATACCTATTAGATATATGTTAGTACATAATATTGATTATTTTTATTTGTATCGTTATAACAATATCTCACGAACAATGGTCGCAAACATCGCATCGATCGCGGAACTTGTCTTAACTTAGGCCACGCCCCTCCTACGTCTTGCGCGTAACTTAGCATCTAGCGCCGCCTTGCGCACGTACGCCCACCGTCTTAGTGAACACTTGGCCTCTATAACGCCCATTGTGATTAACAACTGTAGTCTAGTGAGCACGGGCGAAGTGAAAGCCTTGGATCAATGGAATTGTTAATAATAGGATCTTATTGTCACATTTCTAACAATATACCTCAGTTTTTTTAATGGATGATAATGGAATGGTAACCCCCCGCCTGCGCTAACAGTATACACTGGCAGAGTACCAGTGAGAGATGATAAGTGATGATGAAGCAGAGGTTTCTTCAGGGTCGCCAACGCGCGCGTAATTCTTCTGGTATTGCAGGCGTTCATAGGCTACGGTAACCGCTTAAAATCAGGTGGGCCGTATGCTTGTTTGCCACATCAGTGGTATAAAAAAAAACAGGTCAGTTAGCCCATCGTAACAAATTCACCAATGAATCAATCACGATGGTTTCCAGGGGGAACCGCGAGGGGGTCAACCTGATATGGTATTGTTAATAATAGGATTGCTAATCCTTATTACTAAAAATCCCTTCCCCCCAATATACCTCATTAGGCCGGCCTCCACGCAGTACCCCCTGGAAACCATCGTAATTAATAATTGTTAAATTTATCACGATGGACCAACTGAGCTGAGAAATACTCTATTGATAAAATATTTGTTTCTTGTCTAAGAGCGGTTGATTTCTATGATTCTTTTTACACATAATACGGTTACTTGTGATGTCATATTTACATATAGGTACATTTTTTTTACAACACAGGGGGCAAACGAGCATGCGGCTCACCTGATGGTAAGTGACTACCGCCGCCCATGATTTATTACATTAGTACTAATAGGTATCTACTAATTTCAATATAACTGTAATCGGGATTTTTTTAATAAATTTTTAGATAATGTATCTAAGTATTAAACTGTATTAAGTATTTAATTGTAAGTAGGTATTAAGTAGTAAATACCTACCCATATATAGTAAAATATAATATAACTTCAGTCTGTTTTTTTAACAAAATCTTATATTAAGTCCTTTTAAATATTAAATTGTTTTTTTTTTTTTATACAACTTAGAATGGCAAACAAGCAGACGGTCCACCTGATGTGAAAGTGATAACCGTCGCCTATAGACATGAGCAGTACCATGGACATAACAGAGGTAGGTATATATTGAATGACCAATAATTAATATATCTGATATTGACTCAATATATAAATAGATATTGTAACAACAATATATAGATACCGCTATATATCACCCACCCTAATTAGATACGTATTGTTTAATCATTATATTCTACCATTAATGTCACATTATCTACTATTACTTTGACAAATCTATTTCTAAACCGTGAACCAATACAAGCGAGTAACGCCTACGTCTTGCCACGCCTTTCTTAGAAGTTTAGATACGTGCTCCCCACCCATTCAAGTCGCATCGTCTTCACCCAGTCAAGTTTCCGACCAATAAATACAATTACTTCGTAGCCAATCAAACTACATGCCTAAATACAACGATTATAATATTAGAGAGTTAAAAAGTCACAGTGATAAAATTGCACTGTCGCGTGGAAAGTTTGTAACGAAAAGTGGTCATTATTGTGACTTTAAGTGAATATTTAGATAAATTAACAACATACTGTATAGAGAACTGCCTTACTATAGATGTCTAGTTGTATTGTTTATATCTAAGATGATGTTAAATAAGGAACAAATGCTTTTCCATACTTAAATGGGAAGCGAAGAAATATTAATCCATAATTAAGCTTAGATACCTACTTACTTAACATACCATAAGTAATCCACAGTCATAAAATTTGACAGAAATTAGAATTTCTGATTTATATGTACTTTATATAATAAAACTAATGAATCTGATAACCATTTGTATTGTAGGCCTTTTAAAAGATTACATTATTGGTGACAGTAGTGACATCTATATTAAGGATAATAAAATCTAAACATGCGCTTGCGTTGTTAGTAAATACGCCATCTATACGAATTATACATAACTACACTCATACTACGCCCTCTATACAACACAAGCATAAAGTAGTTTAAATAATGCGTTTGCGACTATACGAATAGCGACATCTGTGTTCTAATCTTTGAACTTCGAGGTTTTTGAAATTGTAGTTCTGCTTTTTGACAATTGATGGCGCTTATTAAAATAAATTTAATTTAATATTAAATTGCAAATATGTAAGTTGCATTCATATTATTTAAAACATTACATTTAAAGCACATAAATGAAGATTATTGTACTAGATATCTAGCAATAAGAAATATCGATATTGTAGTCGACATATCAAGTGTCTGCTCACATTTCACCAAATAGGAACCTATGTAGATATGTATTCTTATTACAATTAGTGACACAATGATAGGAACAAGGTAAAAGCATAACTAATCGCGATCAATTTCATATTTTAATTTTATATTTTATTTATTAGATTTCCTACCATTTTATAATTCTGCTTTTCGACGCTAGATGGCAATATTGAAATAGACCCCACGAGATATAATAAAATAAAATATAGCAGTAACAGAGCACATGACATTATCGACAGTCAGGATATCGCATTAGAGATTGCCTAGATAAGGTCACTAAGTTCTGCTCTACAAATGCTAAAACACGCAAGATAAAAATTACAAAAAAATCAAAATCGACATTTTTTTCAGGATAATAATAGTAGACTTTGAGTAGGTTCTTTTTTATTAATAAATAATATATTACAATTTTACTTCATATTAATCATGACACTAATAGACTTGATTTGTCTACAGATTTGTAGAAAAGCAGTGTTTTCTCTATGTGATCTATTTCTTATAGTTTTTGTTTCTGCTATTCTCTTATTTATTCTTTAACCCGCTAAATAAAGAGAAATTTTCTGTTTTCTACGGACATAATGTACCAATTAATCGTTAAGCTTATTGAATATTTAGTAGTGCTCTTAAGAGCACTACTAAATATTCAATATAATGAAAAGAATATAACTCGAAATCCTGTTTGTAGATTTATATTAATTTAATCGTCATCTTAATTATGGTGTAAGGACAGACAGTTTTTTTTAATAGATGATAAACCGGCCCACGCTAACGGTATACGCTGGCGGGACACTAGTAAGGATTGATAGGTGAGAATGGAAAGGCAGGTCACATTCCATCGTAATGAACACGCCTGGAATTCAGCACGATGGTTTCCAGGTGGGATCACGTAAAGGTCGACCTGACAGGGCATATTGGTAACAATGAGACTGGTATTCCGCATTACTAACAATCCCTTCCCCCCAGGACAGACAACTAAGTACGTTAAGGTGAATGTATATAATGCAAAAAATATTCTTTCCTCGGTTGAATTTAAACGACTCTCTAATAGTTCCACTAAGACATATAGAAACAGTATAGAATTTGTGAATTAATTTCCTTGGCCTTAGTTTAAACTAAATAAGAACTATATTATTATTATTTTATGTAAAATTTATTTTGAAAAATGGGTAGTTATTTTAAAAACGCAATCACAGGTTATGCTTTCGTGTGGATAAAAGTTTGCTTATCAATAAATAACTTTTGTATCATCAAGGCTACATACCTCGCGTGTACTAGCGACATGCTTAGTTTTCATTATAAATTAATGCGCTTGCATCGTTATCTACGTCTGTGGCATTGACACCTAATTGCATGTCAATAGTATGTAGTCGAAATGTAATAATTCATGTACCTATATTAAATTTATTTCATTTTAAGGCTTACTTCGCAAGGAAATTGTCGTGAAAATAGATAAATAATAAATAACAACTGAGTCCTCAGGAATGGCAACGCATGGGAGGTATCATGGGCGAAACAGTATATTCTGTTATGTCCAGTACCATGGACTATGTTCCTGTCTCATGTCTATAGGCGACGGTTACCACTTTCCATCAGGTGGGCCGTCAGCTTGTTTGTCATTCTAAGTTGTATAAAACAAAACGAATAGATAATAAATATTTTTTTTAACTACTAATCGGATGTACTATAGCAATATTTTGGATCAATATATTTAAATATCTTTTCAGTTTCCTTTAAAAAATATTTTTCCGATATTTTATCGGTATTAGATTAAAATTATTATTATTTTTTATTTCAGCCCTTAACTGTCTACTACTGAACGTAAACTATCCCCATAAGGGGAGTTTTGCCAGTAGTTGCCAAGCTTGGCAGGTGGGTTAGCAACCGCAGTTAGGCTTTTAGAGATGTTTCAAAAAGGACGCTGCTGCCCATTCCTTCACCATAAGTTCCCTTAGTCGCCTCTTACAACACCCACGGAAAAGGAAACGGTGGCGTATTCTATGCCGAAACCGACACGGTAACACAGGTTAAAATAGATATTATTAGTCCTAGAATATCTAAAATCCCATAGTTCCATAAAAATCAAGTATATAACTTAAGTATAATAACTTCTTTTTTAATTTATCACATTTCTTTAGCAGTTTCTTTGCTATTCCCTGCTGCACCTATTAAGAAGTCGTGACAAAAGATCATATTTATTTTCTATTATATGAATCTAATGACAATCAACTTATCAAAATAATACTACTATGTCCCGCTCCGGATTCTGTCTTCCTTATATATCTACATATATATATATATATATATTACACAAGGAAAATATTACCCAATTTTCTTCGGCATTCGAATAAAAAACTAATTCGTACTTAATGAGATCATTTAGATAAATTATTAATATCAGTTACGTTATCAGAGAGTAACATAAACGGTATTTTAATTTTACAAAAGTTGTGCGACGCCGAAGCGAATCGCTAGTAGTAGAACTCACAGTTAATATCAGGATATCTTTCGAAAAATTTATAGATAAACACTGAGGAATATAAATAGATGTACACTACAGAAATTTTGTATGGCTGATTTTAATTCGATTAACAGATATTACACAGATACAGGCTAATATTTTTAATGACATTTTGTCGGCTGTTAATGAAGATCTATGTAGAAAAATTAATAATATATTCAGGAAAACCCCCTGATAAAATTAACTAAATACTTATCTCTTAGAATGATATATCAATGGAGATATAAAAAAAGTTCTACTCTCTTAAAAATTCCCAATCATTTTAAAGCAAATTAAATCTTAAATACAATGAGAATCTATTTTAATAGACAATAAAAAGACCTAATATACTAATAAAAATACGTAAGCATATACACAACTATTTAACATTCAGCAAACAAAATAATAATTAAAAAAGGAAAAAATAAGGTATGAAAATAAAAATAACAATAAAGAAAAATAAATTTATTTCAAGATTTTTACACACAACACAATAAAATTCTACATTACAAAATAAAAACAGCAAATTAAAACAATGCTTTATTAAAAGAGTACTGTTCGGTATTTATTCGAATTCGTAAAAAATATTGTACAGAAAATTGAATATGGAAAGATTATTACTGAAATCCATTTTATTAACAATTTTTCTTTTATTAAATCGCTGCAATCCGTCGGACATTGACTGACATCGGCTCGATTTATTAAAAAAATTATATTAAAACTTGAGAATAATTTTATACATCATTAATTATTATATTTAAAACATATTACTACGAAATTAAAACAAATAACTTAATGTGCATTGAAGATAAAAAAAAAATAAAACGAATAAAATTATGAGTTAAATAAAAAAAAAATATCGCTAACTACAACTCATGTCTACATAATCATAATATTAAAAAACATGTATCAACCTTATTGTTGCCGATTCTTTCGTAATTTGATGCACAAAATGTCCAATGTTCATAAACCACAATATTCGTAAACTAAGCAGGTCCTATATTGAACAAGTACATTTGTGGCAGTCAATAATTATTTTACTATACACCTAAATCCTTATCATTAATTCAACGCTTAACTTGTAATTTATCATCAATCGTTCACTCGAGTAGTCGCTCGTTAGTTAGGAAAAATAAATTCTCAAATAAAAATATTCTCAATAACGGCCAAAAGTTTTAATCTCTTTACAAATGTAACCGACATAAATATTAAAAATTTTGCAAAAAACTTTCTTCCACTGCCAACAGTTATAGGTTAAAAAAGTGAGGGTCGGGATGTTTTAGCCTAAAAATATTTTCGATTAGACGCGGTTAATTTTAATTTAATTTTTTTTTTTGAATTTTGTATTTATTAATATTTATAATCACAAGAGCACGAGGAACGTGTATTGCGTCGCGCGGCCCGGCCGGCCGCCGCGACTCCAGACGGACGACTGAGACGTGCCCGCGGCGCGGCGCGCCACCCTGATCTCTCGCCCCCTCCCCCCAGCGGAGCCTAGCCGAGCCGCGCTGCCAGAGCCGCACCCCGCCGCCCCGGGCCCGACTTCGTTACGAGCCACTTGTAATCGCGCGCGATTTTTCCGCCTAAGACAAATTAAGCGGGCCTGCGCCGCCCGCCCCCCTTCTACGAACGTCTTGGCCCTTTTCTTAAACTCTAAATGTATTGTGCACGCCTTAATCGTAAATTATTCTATATCTTTTTCTGGCTCGTAAAACTAAGTTCAGTTACCGTATCCTGCAACCGAATAAAAATATAAATTGTTCGAACCTGAATGATTGTATTCAAGTAATAATAAAAGGGCAATTTAACATTTCAATGTTATGGCGTCGATCTGTTTTATTTTTAAATGGTGTTTAATCATCAATTTCGCTTTCGAGCATGCCGAGGTCGAGTTAATTGTAAATAAAATTCGATCATTCGCCAAAAAATCCTCGTAATCGTTATCCGACAATATCAATGAGCGATTCGAAGTCACGGTTGTATTTTTTAATAGATGTAAGTGACGTTACGTTTAGTTTACATTTTTGCTTTTGTTTAATATACTTATTATAATAAAAGGACGACGGTGTGCAACTTAAATGACATAATAGGAATTTACGGATATTTCATTTTAAAAATTGCCTTTTTTATAATTGTTAATAAATACTAATTATTAAAAAAAATTAAGTAAGTTTTTAGACAAAATTTCGCAAATTGTACGTTCACATCTATTGAGCTAAAATTCAAGATTAGCCCCAATGAACTGAAAATTTAGATTACGGGTGACTTGCGTACATTTCTCCTAAAAAATTATAATGGAAGCGTAAAAAATTCAATGAGACACATTTGCTCAGACCCCTGGCGGTGGCGAGGGCCGGCACTCGGCTGGCCGGCACGTAAACAGACGAGAGCCGGACGAGTATGAATTAATATGATTCTTTTATCAGAGCGCGGTCCAGCTGTCGCTGTTACAGGGTCGATGAACCTCGCCAGATTTTTTAAATACAATCTGCACTGAGGTTTCCGATATGTTAGTTAGTTCGTTTACGTGGATATTTCCGTACTCAGACTCGCAAATGAAATAGTGCGCTAGATCGCAGTTAATATAACCAATCTGGTCTGTTATAAGGTTTCCAATATATCTAAGTATCTAACATACATTGTTAAAGATACGATGAAGTTAATAAATAACTAATATTATTAGCATTAGTATTATCTCAAGTTAAAAGCGTAGAAGAAATGTATACGTTTCAATAAAAAAATATATATCGGTGTACCTATTGTTACTATTGTGTGGGTTACAGTGGTGTACGTACAAGACATCTAGAGAAAAAACGAAATAATTTTGTTAGAAGACGATATAAATAGTAAAATACTGATAATATTGTTATAATATATAGATAAATATATTATAATAATAATTTTTCCCGGGATTTTTTAAGGATTTATTTTATACTAAATAATTGTAAAAACATTTAATGACATATTACACATGAATCTTCTTAGTCTATTTGTGGTTAGTGACACTAAAATATGTGATACGTTGGAAAAAAATATTTTTATAATAGGTATACCTGGATAAAATTTGATTCTTTTATAGTCGCAGAATAAAGATATTCTGTATGATAGTAGGTACGTAAAATTCTAGATACAAATACCCTATAGGTAAATATAAAAAGACTTGACGGCATGAATTATCAATGCTTAAACAAATCGCTGTGTTAAAAATTTTAAATATAAATTTCTTTGGCGTAGGAAGAATTTTTCACGGGAGTTAGAAAAAGCGGCCCGTCGTTGGCGAAGTCGCAGTAAATAAATATTTTATACCTATTAAATTGTAAATAATACGTCAGATATCATAATCTAAATAGAATACTGATACTAATTATTGCAAATAATAAATTTTGTTAATAGCAAAATCGAACGTTGGGATCGTTTCGCGTAACGTGTGAAATTTTTCTAGTTTTTTTTTTATTTATCTAATTAACTATAAAGTTAAATATAAACAATTTGATTAACTATAAACAAGTTTTCTTTAGTTAGGCTGATTTTTCATAAAATAACATAAACATTTAATTTATTTCAAAACTACACTATGTTTAAAAACCTTTTGAGGCAAATAATTTTGTCATTTACAAATTGTATTTAATAGCGAATTTTGTTTATAAAGATAAATATATTAATACAAATCAAGGAAGTTCGAATTAGTAGATAATTTACCCAGTTTTATTATTTTAACATTGTCTGATGTTTTTCATTCCTGAAAAGCTCAATTAGATAACAATTGTTTTACAAATGGTAACATTTTTCATTTTTTATAAAATACATTAAATTGTTCTTTTACTCAGTGAAAAAGTTAATTTTTTTAAGTGGGCATAAAATTTATATTTTCAATAGATATCATTCGAAACTGGAAAAGTTAATTGAAAAAAATATATTCCTGTCAAAATTACTAAAAAAAAATAACTGTTGAAATCTTATTATATAATCAAAATTGTAGCCAATATTGAGAATATTTAAATAACCAAAATTAAAAACCAAATTTATTCTTAAATTAATCATGCATATTTTATAAAAAGCGCAATTAAAAAATAAACAACTTTCATTTGATCGCCACAAATTACCTGTGATAAATTTTAGATAAAATTCTTCAGTTTTCTTCAGATACACTTGAGCAGTAAAAATAATAAACAATAGCTTTTTTTCTAAAATGCCCCGTCCATTACCATGGAAACTTGCAACGAACTGTTCAGAAGCCAATCAACTTAAACATTTAATATTATTTACATAGGTAAACTTTTAATTAAAAAAATTAATCCAGTCTCAAAATCCATATGTTTCACTAAAACTTATAGAAATTTTTGTACATTTAAGTAAGTCCTCAACACTGCTAAAGTCAATTTAAAACGTCCACTAATTAACCGATGTCGTAATAAAAAAAAAACGCGAACCGACGAAGGAACTTAACACCACTTATAGACTATGCGGCAAAACGAGCCGAATATTTACATTGGAGAAAAAAAAATGAGGTCATTCGGAGGTTACGGGCAACGCAGCCGGTCGGCGCGAGCCGCGACGGGATGTGGCCCTTGCATCCTCAAGCGCCCCCCACACCGCACCCTCGCACCGAACGCCCGCACTTCGGCTACCGAAAACCACGTGCGCGCACTCACGACAGAGACGCTTGTACGTGCCAAAAACGCGTCTGACAAAGACGGCGCTACTCTTTTTTCAATTTACTATATTTGACGATTTTTATTATTTTTTCGCATTTCGATATTTTATTTTTTAGTTGATGCGCTTCGCAACTCACCTGTTGTGCTTGACCCGCTTCGATCTGTTGACCGATCATGTGATCGACGCTTCTCAAAACTTTTCGCATGTTGTTCCGTTAATGCGCTCACAATCAATTCAAAAGTTTGACGAAATAATATTTGTTACATAGGTAGTTAGAAAATACTGGCCAAACATAAAAAGAGGAAGAACTACCTACTCCAAGGATAGGTATATTTTGTGCATATATAGGTACCTACCTAAATACAAAAAAAAGCTTATATTTTTATAAACATAGAACATCTTATAAAAATAATACAAAAAATAAACATATCTTCATTTATTAAACGATTGTGCTGCCATAACTGCGCAGCGTCGGATAGCGTTACTATTATAATAATACCAAGACAGGAGCGACATTAGCGCTACATATACGTTCGGCGTAAATTGGAACTATCGTCCAATGGTTCATTCCTAACTCGTGTCGTTTATTTTTTCATTTTATTAATCGTGAAAGTGCAACGTTCACTTCGCCGGCCATTCAGAGGCAGTTTTCGTTTGCATTTTCTTTTTCCTTTTCATTGTTTTTTACAGACGTTTTGATCATGTTCTCGAATCTGCGCTTGTAACTGTCTATTGACAATCTATCTGTTACTTTTGTGTTGACTATGACGCCGCTTTGTTTAGTTTTTAATTGTATGAATTTTATGTTTTGCTCTAATACCGATACTTTTAGATTTAAATATTTTTTTTTTATCATAATGATGTGTTTTTGCACTCATTACAATAGATGGCGTTACATGTTTTGAAATGCGTAAACATTCAATGAAATGACCATTCCATTCCAAACATAGGCATAGATTATCAACGTAAGACAGAAACCCACTGCCTTTCATGATCAGCTAACGCATCACACATACTATTATATGTTCACATTATAACTTTACATATAACATTTGATGTTAAATCCATAAACCGTTTTACATTACAATATAAAATTCTTTAAACCAGCTATCCAATTATTAATAAAATATTACTATTAATCTAAAAATACTGAACTTAAATGAAATACTGGTTCCGGGCTGTGTAAAAAAAGCTGCTGGGCCGCAGGTTGAGCATGACTGTTCTATAATATGGATAGATGCTTAGTTTTATATACAATTAATTATTGCATTTCGCTTTATATAAAAAAAGGGCTCAAGAATTTTTTTTATGCAACTTAGAATCGTAAACAAGCTGACGGCTCACCTGATGGAAAGTGGTAACCGGCGCCTATAGATATTGACAGTACCATGGACGTAACAGAGTGTACTGTGTCGCTCATGATACCCCTTATGTGTTGCCTTTCCACTAAGTGTTATGCTTCTGTACTCTGCAATTTCATTAATCCATTTTCAAAACACTAATAATTCGAAATATTATCTTTATTTGAATATTTTTTTTATAGTGTACAAACTTGCCAGTGACTTCGTACGCGTGAATTTTGAAAGTTTTACCCCCTTAGAGGATTTTTTTAATTGGATGATAATGGAATAACCGCGCCTGCGCTAACAGTATACCTACGCTGGTTGGGCACCAATGAAGGATGATAGGTGAGAATGAATTGGCAGGCCAGTTATCCCACCGTGATGAATATACCTGGAATTCAGCACGATGGTTTCCAAGGGGGACCACGTGGAGGTCGACCTGACAGGGTATATTGCTAGCAATGGGACTGGTAGTCCGTATTACTAACAATCCCTTCAGAGGTTGAATTTTCAAAATTTCTTACTTATTGTTCACCTATGTTATATAAAGAACCTATTTTCAGAATTTCAAGATTTTAGATTCATTCGTTGTGCGTTGACATAAGGGTCAGTCAGACTTTTTGGGGCTTTAGTATCGTTGTTAGGGTCTCTTGTCATGGCGAATAATTGCTGAGGGCTTATTCATATTTCGCGCGCAATTACGGTGTTCGTTGGTACTAACTGCGCATGCCCAGTGTTAGCCAATCAGAAACGTCGTACGTCGGCGCGCACGACCGCGATGTCTCCGCTTCGTCAATATGACGAGCTTCGTTGTGTGATAATTTATAGAGTTCAAGAAAAATCGGCGTTACTGACTGTAAACTATGAATATTTTGTATTTTGCTTAGTGCAGTTAGTGTGCTTTTGTGCTTAAAAACTTGTGTAATAACTGTTTTCGCTGGACGGCGATGAGGAACTGGTTCATACAGTACAAGCTTGTTTTTATGTGTGCCATACTGGTACTGATGAGCCCGCCGGCTACTTCTTACTTGGAGTTGTGCAGAAGCAACCTGGTAAGTGAGCTTCATTTTTTATATGCTAGGTCAGCAAGGTCAGCGACTACGCGGCAGTGTATTCGAGGTCCTCACGTTCGATCCAATTTAAATTTTTGTATACCTAATTATGGTATTGGCTCATCATGGCCACCGCACAGTCACTCAGCATCCTATTTTCTTTATGCGCTCGGAAATCAATAGCATTAAACGGATTGCAATTGAATAGGTACATGAATTGCATCGTTTCTATCACTTCCAGTGGCGTAGCTAGGTAAACAAAGGCCTTGGGACAAATAATAAACTAGCAGCTAAGAATACAGGGAAATTCCTCGCAAGTTTCAAACAAAAATATTCGATACTTGTTTGTAAGCTGGAGTCCGAGGGGCCCCCAGAGTTAGGGGCCCCGGGGCACTGCCCCGTCTAGCGTTCCGGTAGCTATGCCACTAATCACCTGTTAACAACGGTTAAGCGGACGAAGCCGCGGGTGAAGATTAGTTTTCTAAAAAATCAGTTTAACAGTTCCAATCTGTGTCAACTTTGTTAAAAAAGATGGTTAAAAAGACATCTTTCTAGAACATTAAAGCAGGTGTCATAAACCGCGGGCGCTATTACTTATTTTAAATAAACTCGGGTTTGAAGTGGAACTATGTGTTAGGTTCTTCGCGTTAATGTCATTCTCATTCTCCTCTGTACTGTTATTACAGAGGTGGCCAGACAATTTTGAGATGTTTTAAAGAACTATGTAAGTGTTCCCTTGCGGAAGTCCATATCACTGTTTATTTTAATAGAATTATTTTATTTAATACCGCTGCCATTAGTATGTGTGTGATTTTCAACATTTGAAGATTGATCACTATCATTACTACCAGAAGTTTTTCAAACTTCTATATTAGCTTTCAATCTCCGACTGCCATTTCGTCCACGCACTTTTTACGACAAGTGTTTCACCTCTAAACGAGGCGTTAAGCAAATTATTAAATCTATATAATATATTAAAATTTTATAATTATTATATACTAGATTTAGCCCGCCACTTCGTCTACATGATTGGTTTGAGTTGTTATAACTCGCCAAGAAGTAACAAACGAACTCGCATTCACATTTCTCATTATTATTCTTCTCATATAAAAATGCTTATAAAAGGACATATTATATTATTATTATTATGCTTATATGCTTATTCCTTCTAGCTTTAAAAGACCTTATGTTAAAACGATCTGAGAGCCTACCATGAAGTATTTTCCGAAATTTCGGGCCCATACGGAACACAAATATGTTGTTAAAATTACATAATACATACCGATTAAAAATATAAAAAAATTTTAAAATCGTTTGTTTGTATTTTTGTTAGAAATCCTACCGTAAGTAGGATTTCTAATGAACAAAATTTTAAGCTCCATTTAGAGTCGATATCGGTACGAACAAAAATACGAAATTTAGTCCGAAAATTCTGAATTTCATTTTATGGTATAAATAAAAATTAGTAAGCATTTTAATTCAAGTACCGAATATAAGGTCAGTAACGCAAACACCCTTTCCTTCCGCGAATGAAGATGACATGACGCCCATAAAGTTTGTCACCCCTGTAATTTTAAGCGAAAAGTACCTCGTAAAACTGTTGTCAATTCCTTCCTTAACTCGTGTGAGATTGACTCGCCCTCAAGCTGAGGATAACTTGTTATTTGCTTGCTTTAGCTTCTAACGTTAACTCTAGAATGTTCTGTTTACGATTATAGGTGTATAAATAAAGGTGTTGGGTGTAGTGACGGGTGCGGTATCGTGAAACGGTGACGTTGTCAAAATTTTATGATTTTTAAGCGATTTTACAAAAAAGGTTTTTATTAATTTGACTAAAAATCGAATTTCGAATAATTTAATATTACGTTTCACAAAAAAAAATTGGTTTCTATTATGGCAAAATTTGTTATATTGACTTAAAAACTAAACTACTAAACCAATTTAAATAAAAATGCTATGGGTCGAATCTGTAAGTATATCCTTACAGATAACAAAATAATTTTCCAAATCGATCTATAACTGGTGGAGTTTTGAGGTGAAAAACATAAAAAAGACACAATCGAACCTTTTTTTTTAAACTCGGGTTTTTTTTTATGGGTGAAAATGGTATGGTAACCCTGCCTGCGCTAACGGGATACGCTGGCGGAGCACCAGTGAAGGGTGATAGATGAGAATGAAAACAGGCCAGTTAGCCCATCATGATAAATTCATCAGGAATTAACCATGATAGTTTCCAGGGAGAACCGCGAAGAAGTCGACCTGGTCGGGTATATTGCTAGCAATGGGATTCTCAGTTTTCATTACTAACAATCCCTTTCCCCCTTTTGAGCTCGGGTTTAAAAAAATATCGTAGCACAGTGCAATCAGACTTTTTTTTTTTAACACGATTATTTTAAGTCAATACTGAATCGATTATGGTTATTTTTTTTATATTCGAAAAGAACTTCCGCGTGTTGTGTTAGTCTAATTTATTAAGATAGGAGCTGATTCTTGTAAACAAAAGAATTGTTAATAATTTTGTTATTGATTTGGATTTTCTTTTATTTAAAACGATATATACTTACATATTGGTCCCACAGAAATTTCCTGAAAATCGTTTCAGTAGTTTAGTTTTTAAATCAAAATAATTGATTTTGTCATAATTATTACTGAAGTCGATTTCTTCGTTGGACACAGATTTAATAATTATATATTATAATTAAAGTCTTTGAATGGCAAACGAACTGACGCTCTACATCATGGAGACGTCACTTTACAGAGTACAAACATAATATAATGTTATGGACTTCACAGAAAAGTACACTGGGACGCCCTCGGTATCCCTCAAGATTTATCCATATGTCATGTTCCACTTGTTTTAGTAAGATCACTGAAAAAATATTAAAGTAGTAAGTGATTAATGAAAATACATATTTACTAATATTATGAATATAAAAATGTAAATTTACTTTATAGCCCCCTTAACTGCTAACCAAATCGTTATGAAATTTGGTATACACGAACTATATTGTATGGAGAAGGATAGAAGTATAATCTAAGGAGTTAGTTTTTATTCCGGTCACACGGACGAAGTCGCCAGTAAAAGCTAGTAATAATATAAAAATGAAATTTATTCAAACAAAAGATTTTAACTTATTGCCCTGTCACGGAAATCCGTTTAAAAAAGACACAAAAAATGAAATAAACTCGTCACCTTTGATCCCTTTATTCGCACCTTGTAATGGGCACGTTACATAAGATGCTAACTTCTTTTTTATTGGCTCACCTTTACGCTTCGCATTTCGAATAAGTTTGAATTCCGAACGTTTTATTGTTGCTTCTTACCGTTTACAAGCTGTTGTCGCCCTTATTTCGGGCACACTAAAGATTAGTTCAATTTGTGGTAACCCAAGCATCGAATGACAACGACAAAATAAAAACTTTCCCGCGTATTTTCTCATTTATGTGATATGTCAATTTTTTGTCGGCTAAATATGGACCTTGTTTACATACGCTTAGAGTAAAATGTTATTCAATAATTTTATTCGAATCGTGTTTCGTTTTCGCAAACGAATTTTCAAGTCTCACGTTTTGTTACAGAATAATGTTGTCCTTTTTGATGTGCCGGGTTGTGACGAAACATTGTACTCTTATAATGTTAGGGATAAACCTAAAGTCCGTTTATGACTTTTCTATGAGACCTTTGTGTGTGCATGAAAATGAATCGAAGTTTTTATTCCTTGTTTTATTTGGAAGCTGCAATAAAAACGAGGTTTTATTAAGACGTTATAAACGGAATGGTTACGTACGGGTATTTGGTTTCAAAATAAATTACTATTTTAAAATACACTTAAGAGTAAAAATGTTATACTTAAAAGCACTCCTATAAAAATTAATAAGAAAAAAAAAACAAAGAGAAGAGGAAATAATCATTAATATAAATATTACGAATACTTTGTAACGAAGTAAGTTTTATAAAGTACTCAAGAGGGATTGTGGTTCTTTCAGTTTGAACTTCCTTTCAATTCGGTTGGCAAATGAGAAAGTATAATGCAGTTTTAACGAAGGACTTAATGAAAGTTTTTTACTTTGAAATTTTGGCCCTCTTTTAGTATTGTTGCTGGGCACAGTTGAAATTATATTACTTTCCTCTTTGATAGATAGAAAAGTATTGTATAGATAAAGCATCGAGTTTAAAAAATATGCCATCATTTAGTCTCCTAATCTGACCTTTGGCTACTTTCTTAAATTAAATGGAAATTATTTCTTTCTGACATAATAGAAACACGAATATATATGTCTACTCGTATTGCTTACAAATTGATATGCTTATATGTATTAAATTTAAATTTAAGGCGACTATTTTCAATGATTTTAAAGACGAAAATGTTGGGTTTGTCATATTTCTTTTAGAACTGGTGACTGAAGATGATGATGATGATGCATGATGAATGATGTGTTTTTTTTAATGGGTGATAATGGAATGGTAACCCCGCTTGCGCTATCTGTATACACTGGCAGGGCACCAGTGAGGAATGATAGGTGACGATGAAAGCAGGTCAGTTAGCTCATCGTGAAGTTAATTTCACTAAAATTAACCATGATGGTTTCCAGGGGGAATCGTGTGGAGATGAACCTGATAAGGCGTATTGCTGGCAATGGGTCAGTGAGACACCATAACTAACGATTCCTTTCCCCCCAATACAAACGTGTTCATAAGTGAAGACCGCGTTTGGGTAGACGCAATGTGGAACGCCCCTTGGCTAGACAATGCAATGATTGCACAAAATTGCTGGGAATGATTCTATGCGTAAAGCTCAGGATCGTACAAAGTGACGCTTTGGAAGAGGCCTACGTCCGGCAGTGGACTACGGTGGACTGATAATGAAGATCAGACTTAATACCTAAGTCCTTAGGTATTATGGATTTTACGATGTATGCAGTCACGTGTATGGTGCTCGTTAATTTATGACGATCAATAATTGTCATTGTTATTAATTGATTCTTTGCATTACTCAGTTATACCAAGAATGTATTAAAAAAAAACAATTACAGTGTTCATATCTATGGCAACGTCGCAATCACGATGAATAATTCAATTCAAATTCAATTTAAAAAAAAAATTAAATATTTGTAATTGTTTCTGATTGATTGTTCAAAAAAAGTGTTCTGCTAACGCACATTTATAATGTAATAATATTCATACTAAGCTGGTACTGAAAATTTGGATTTTAATGGCAACACAGTATTTGAAAACTTCCGGAGCAAAATGTAATGCAGGTGTAAAGTTTATAACGGTAGATCTGCATGCAATATATTTTATGATTAATATTTTAGTTCGCTATCAAAACACTTTTTAAATAATCATTCAGAAACTTTGAAAAATGTTACATTGTTTTGGAATATTGGCAGATTGTTGCGACGTTGCCTCACTTCTATAATCAAAATTTATGAACGCTTTTAATTATATTTATTTATTTTTATCTATGTAATAAGACTGTACCAAAATTTCTAGACTAATACCAATACCTGGATTTAATAAATCACTTGTTTAGTGTAAACCGCAACGCATACATTAGTATTGTCCAGTTGCCTGTTAATTTATAGTAAACTTTCAATTTGGCGTACACATCCCCCGGCCGTAAATCTCGGGGACAATTAAACGGCTTCTTGCGGGATGCGGTCGGTCGCCTCTGGCCGCTCTTGGATGCGATTGCGTATTAATTTGAATTTAGAACACGATTCGAATTGTCTTTGGTCAATTTCTTTTTACAAGACGTAGGTACTTACACGTAAGTGGAAGGTTAAGACTAATCCCCTTATTCGTAAAAATTAAAGTCTTTTACAAACTTATTTTAAATATTACGCTGCTTTGTAATTTTTTTTTTAATTAGGATTTGAGCATCAAAGAAATAGACAAAACAGTTCAATACTTTAAATAGGTTTATAAGGGGTTAGACATTTTTAAGAATGGGAAATATTTTTTTATTTACTATAGAATAAAACATTAATATATGTTAATGGATTATAGAGCTCGAATGAAGTCGTAGCTACTACTATAAGCGGAACGCATAGACATTTGAATACCAAAAACTATATTGCAGGATAAAAAATGTTGAATTTTTCTCAATGGTTCACAGCGAAAGCGTGTTTAAACAATGTCTTTGATATTACAATAAAATTATTACCAGTGCATCTTAATGCACTTATATACTAGGCACACTTGGTGTTAATTGACTATCTGTAACACCAAATTCAGAAAAGGTAACATACATTATGGACAAAAAATAAAATAATTATGACATACTTTCATAAATGTACGTTACGTTAGCATAGTGTCAAGGTCACCTTGACACTACTCTAATAAAATATTTTATAAGTATAGTAATGTAATATTAAAAAAAAAAACACTCATAAATATAAAATACCAGAAACTGTTATAAAATAAATATATAGTTACTTGTTTGGTTTGTTAGGTAGCTTGTACCTAGTCGCAACGGACATACACAGTGACCTTGGCACTGCACTCTAATAATGTTTTAGCAGTAAATTACATATTAAAAAAAGACTCAATTATAGACATCGAATATTAGAAACTTTTATCGTAACAAAAATAAAATGTCTGTCAATGGATTATAATCGGAGCGTGCTTATACAGTGACCTTGATACTGTACTCTACTATAGTTATATTTTAGCGGGAATTTAGATAATATATTAAAAAAAAGCACCATTTATAGACATAAAATGTCAGAAACTAAAAGTAAAATACCTGCCAATAGTTTGTAGTCACAGCGTATGTAAACAGTGATCTTGACACAGCACTCCAATAATCATTATATTATCAGTAAATTAGGTATATTAAAAAAAATCCATTCATGAACATTGAATAACTTTCAATGTACGTAACAGAAAAAAGTTAAATACTTGTCAATGGTTTGTAGTTGCAGCGTACGTAAACAGTGACCTTGACACTGCACTTCAATAAAGTTATTACCGGCGCATTAACCCTGAGCTCGAATCAATAACTCATTACTTTTTTATTTCGTACAAAAATAACGTGCTTTTTTGAATTTTGCGAGCTGACCGCCCCAATTATTGTGTGGAGGTTGCAGTATCGCTCGTTGTGACGTCACAGCTCACAGTCATATGATGGCTGCGTGTATATTAATGTACTCGTAAATAATAAAGAATAATAATTTAATATTGTGTTCTTTTTACAAAATTATTTTAATTTAAATTTCAATAATAAAATTCGATTTACAAATTGTCGAAGATAATTCAAATTCAGAACCTCATGTACACACAGAAGTAATAGAACATAAACGCACGGCATTGTAGTTCATAACCTAAATGCAATAAGGTTGCGAATTCAACCTCAACAAAATTATTAATCTATCACATCACCAAAGTTCTAATTTTTTTTTACTTTTGACTCTTCATTATTAATGGTATCAGATGTAAATGTTTCAGATTTTGGAACGTCAACTTTAAAACTCGTAGTGTAATATATCTGTATATTATCTATGTATAGATTAGCTATACTAATTAAGAGGATTATAAGGAAAAAATATGATTGCTTGTTTGTTTGTAATGGAGAAACTCAAAAATTACTCATCCGATTTTAAAAATTATTTTATCTATAGAAAGCTACATTATCAGTAACATAGTCTCGAGCATTGTCTTATTAATTTTGTTCATTGCATATTACACTCGTAAACTATAATAATATAGAAATATACTAATAACTTATTACTAAATAAACAAAACAAAAAAAACTACCAAAAGTAAAATGAAATAATGAAAATCTGTGTAAACGATAGACATTATATTTGCGAACAAAATGCTTCTTTGGCAAGCCCTTGCACAATATTTATACTATTTTGCATGCAATTTTAAGGATGGTATTGGATTGCCTCTCGTTGTTCTGAAAATTTTGTCTGCGGACAAGAGTCCCTCGTCTGCATAGACCATTGATTTTAAAGAGCGGTTATACCGGTAGGTTTGCACCACAGCGAGTCTAAGTTGTTTTTTTTTTATACAACTTAGAATGACAAACAAGCTGACGGCCCACCTGATGGAAAGTGGTAACCGTCGCCTATAGACACGAGCAGTACCATGGACATAACAGAGTATACTGTTCCACCTATGATACCCTCCATGCGTTGCCATTCCTGAGGACTCTGGTGTTAGTCTTCTGTACCCTGTAAATTCACGCCATATCCCACCCTTCAAACTGAAACAGCCATGCAAACACAACTGCTTCACGGTAGAAACACGAATGGGACAGAGGTACCCAAGCAATCGACTTTTGTATAAAGTCTCCCTCTCCCTCTTGTTTATTACAATGATACTTAAATAGTAATTATTGTTGATTTTAACATATTTTATTAATACGTATTTCATAGAATTACTTCTAAAGAAAACTAAATGTTCATATAATAAGTAGATACTTCTGACTTACCATGAAATAATTACGTTCCAAGTACCAAATTCCTATAAACACTGATTAAAAACAAACAACACTTAATAAAGCACCTATTCAGACCATTAATTTTATTCACTAGTATCACAATAATTGCACAAATTAAGACTTAAGATTAAGAATTAAAATTTAGAACTTTTTAATGTAATTTCGAACACTGATATGCTATCCTTTTCTTCCAGTTTCGAATTCGGAATTGTCAAATTCAAATTTGGCGGGCGAACGCCGGGATGGCGTACAATCGGCCCGCTCGTGTGGCGGTCGACAAAGAACTCGACGAGGCATCTTGAGGGCGAAAAGACGTTACGTTGGACCCTTCGATCCCCTTGGCTTGTTTAGTTTGAATGGTGATAATGGTGTAGTGCTTTTTAGTGGCCTGTTTAATAAAATATTTTTTTACCTGAATAGTGTCACGACTGTTTCTTGTTTTACAAAGGAGTGCTTTGACAGAAGTTTTCATAAGTTAATACTGTGAACTTTAATAAATAAATTCACATGTAAGAGATTAAAAATTTATATAATTTCGAACTATGTAAGTTATAGTTTAGTTGATTAATTGTTTATTTATACTAAAATTAATACATAAATAAGTACTTTAATAATTGTAGTAGGTAATAGAAAATTTATATGTTATTTTTTGTTTATTAAAAAGATGTATGTATTTCTAAATTGATTTTTAATTTAACAAATATAAGAATTCAAACAACAAAAATTTGCATTATGTTCGTATATTTAGTATATAACATATGAATGTAAATATTCTTTAGTACTTGTAATTTACTGGAAAACGGGCGACGGTCATATTCGTGTTCTAGTGATATCAACCAAGGTAAAGCCAAATGTTCTACCAATGGCATTGTAAATTAACTTTTATATTTTATAGCGTAAAGTCTACTTATTAAAGCCAGGTAGCTATAAAAAGGTTTATTTCGTAGGGTGAGCTTTCTTCGCGATCACTAATATTGTTCGTAAACATAAAGACGATTATTGGGACAGAGCTGTATTTGAAAGATAATATAATAAATATCTTATTTTGTTAACGGTTCACCTATTTTGATAACACAATATAAACACAAATAATGTTTTGTCATTAACAGATGACGTTTAAAAAAAATACTAAAATAAATTTACTACGCTACCTTCAGAGGAAATCGCAACAGTCCACGTATTGGTATTTTAGATTTAAGATATTGATATGTAAAAGTTATTAATATAGTTAAATGACGAAAAAACTTATTAGCAAAATGAAAAAAGAAATTAAAATGTTACATTCCTAAATGAGTCACATATGTTTGACTGTAAACTGTAATTAAATACTTACATCAATTTATGACTTTTCTACTATTATTAATATCGACTAACCAATTGATCCGTCAGTCCGTGTCGTCCCGGCATCGAATAGGCCATCTCTTCGTGGGTGTCATAAGAAGCGACTAAGAGAGAGCGAGGGATAGGCAACAGCGTCCCTATTAAAACATCTCTAAAGTCTTAACTGCGGTTGCCAATCCGCCTGCCAAGCGTGGCAACTACTGGCAAAACCCCCCAAGAGAAAGGCTTATGTTCAGTGGTGGACTATTAAGGGTTGATATGGTGATGATGCGCAACCTGAGCTAAAAGAAAGACTTATTTTGGTATGATTTTTTTTTACTAAAGAATTATCCAAATTTCCTTCACAAACGAAGCAGTAGGTAAATAAATTATTTTTAATAGAACATATAAATGTACATTATATATATTCTTTATTGCACTAAAACATACAGTAACATACATAACGTAACTTTATAAAACGACTAAAGCTATAATATTGTTTAGAATACGTCCCTGACTTAGGAAGTATTGCACGGTGACTTATTTTTAACGGTCATACCGCGCAGCAGTCTTTTAAATAAAGTACGGCCTGCACGATAAAATAAAAAGAAAAACAAGATAGACAAAATGTTAATATCGCCTGCTTTTTTTCTTTATTACTATCTCATTGGTTTACAATCTGAATTAGCTTTAAAAATGATTATAATATTTGTATAATTAGGAACATATGTTTTAGCTTTTATTGTTCGATACAATAGAATCAAATTTCAACAAAATTAGCATGCGACCAATTTGAATGTATTCTTTGACTAATCAGTGCATGAATAAAGAAAAAAAAATACAAGACTGAAGCTTTTAATTATTGGGTACAATCAGAGTTTCTTTTATTCTTAATCACTTAGTGTAACGTTATTGTAATATATAAATACATTTGTTTAATTCATTTACTTTTATTTATTTCTTTCTTTGTATTTTATTTATTAAACTTTAATTAAAAGATATATATTCCATAAAATGCAGATTCGTATATCAAAATTGGCAGTTTTGGCAAGACATTTACTCAAAAAAAAAGTCAAAGGAGTAACTCCTATTTTTCGATGTTAGTTCAAAGGTGTTATAAAAAATCAATATATAATGTTTCCATTGAGTGGAACAATAATAATTTAATTTATATGTATAATAATATATGTATAATAATGATTTTATATATATAAAAAAAAAGAAAAAATGAATGCGGCCCAGACGTTGACCTTTTCTGAATATTGTTAGAACGTTGAATGGAAGCGCATAGGACGGGACGTTATGGGCACGAGCCTTCGAAAATTAAAAACACGAGCACCCGAACGAGACTGAATTAACGTATTTTTGAATAATAAATATATATATATATATTTATTCAGGCATAGGCATAAATATTTATTTTCTTATATGTATGTAGTTAATAACTAAATTCATATATTGTAATTTGTAAATAATCACGGCAATGTTTATAAATTTCAAAATTTTGTATTGAATCTATTGCAAATTTTAAAATGTAGTCTGAGGGCCTACCATGAAATATTTTCCGAAATATCGGGGATGAACGAAATAGAAATTTGATGTTAAAATTACATAATACATGCCGTTTAAAATTATTAAAAATATTAAAATATCGTACCTCTGGACTATTAGGACAGGATTTATGATGAATGAAACGTTAAGCTCCATTTACTGGGTCGATTTAGGTGCAAACAAAAACACGAAATTGAGCCCGAAAATTCGGAATTTCATTTTATGGTAGGCCCCCTGGTTTTTTTAGTATATAGTTGAAATGGGTATCTCATCAACTCTAAATAGGTTTTTATTTTATTATTTTTTTTAAAATAGGAAAACTGTTGGTAATAATATTTAAATTGAAGACGGTTGATATAAATAATACTGTCTGACTTGCTAAACGTTTTATTACCAGGTCACATTTACAAAATTCCATTGAAATAGGTCGAGCAGTTTTGGAGATTAGCGAAATCAAACATCGTGAAGTTGGATTTTTATGTTTTAGGATAATATATAAATTAATAAGAATATATAATAAAAATAACTAAAATATCAATTTTATTATGTTTAATACCTTTAATTTAATAGGTCATTTTCAAATATAACGGACACCTGGACAATAATATATGCACGCATAATGTACTTAAGACTCGTGCTTGGCACACGAACGGAAGTCTCTAATTTCCATATTTGTAGCAATCGTTTAATAAACTCACATTTTACAAATATAGACTTTATTGCACAAAAATAAAGTATATATTTCTAAACCCTACCTGCAATTAAGTCTTTAAAAAAAGTATGAAAGTAAATTCTCAGCGTTGTCTTTGACCGCGTGTCCTGCACGCGCCGTCATAGTCTATGGTTACAATTACAAGTTACAAGAAACAGGATGCGTCTTAAGTCGAGGGTGACAACCCTATTTTTAAGACGTTTGAAAATAATAAGTCGCATATTCTTTATGGAAATTATTATTTATAATATTTGAAATAGAAATATATTTAGTTCTTAAAAATATTTATTAAAATTTAACAATGTATCTTCTTTACATTTAAGAGTTTCCTCTTGTCGGTGCAACTAATTCATGCATCTTCCTCCAGCCAGCTCTATCCCAGGCCATATCCTTTATCTCCCTATACGACATGACGCCTAGTGTTTCCTTTATCTGTCCCATGTAGTTATTCCTCGGTCTTCCTCTTCCTCTTTTGCCCTCTATCTTTCCTTCTACTATGCTCTTAAAAAAATCGTCATGTCGTATAAGGTGGCCCAGCATTTTGCCTCTTCTATTCTTTATTATTTCAACCAATGTTCTCTTCTCGTTCACTCTTTTAACAATGTAAACATATGTGTAGAAAAATATGTATAAATGTACAAATACATTTTTTTTAAGAAGAGTCTCAATTCGGTTGTATTTTTTGTATGATTATTACCTCATAATGTATATAATAGTTATTAACCAGTTTGAAAAATTCTTTTTTTACCTGAAAGGATATACTTACAGATTGGTCCCATAGAAGTTTTATCAAAGTCGTTGGCATACGTTTTTATTACGTAAACAAACTTGCGGGTAAAAGGTAGTCTTTCTATAAAAATTTAATAACTACTCGTGGGAAGTGATTGTTAGTAATGGAGACTGAGAATCTCATTGCTAGCAATATACCCAACCAGGTCGACCTCCTCGCGGTTCTCCCTGGAAACTATCATGGTTAATTCCTGATGAATTCATCACGATGGGCTAACTGGCCTGTTTTCATTCTCATCTATCACCCTTCATTGGTGCTCTGCCAGCGTATCCCGTTAGTGCAGGTGGGGGTACCATACCATTTTCACTCATAAAAGAAAAAAAAAAACTCGTGGTATTAAATTATTATATGATAATATTATCACAGTATAAAGGTGAAACTTCTTCACTGTGATGGTTATCAGGACTTATTTGCTTATATCTATGGTAAATAGATCTCATAGACGTTTGAATAGAAACAGTTCTACAATTAGCCAAACACGTCCAAATTGATAGTAACTTGAGCGAGTTAAGTTAGTTAGGTAAGTTAAGAACTTAGGGTTGCCCCTGCAATTACAATCAGGTTTGCCACAAACGATGTTTCTAACTTCAGGAACCGATATAGTTAGTGTTTCAAGTTTCTATATTGGGATATAATTTGAACACTAGAACTATTTGTCAACTTAAAACTTGTTTGTATTTAGTACTAGCTATATCTTGCGACTTCTCTCGCATGAATTAGCATATACAGTATCGTATGTGTTAAGTTAGGATACAGAGGGAGCCTTTGTACAAAAGTCGATTGCTTGGGTACCTCTGTCCCATTCGTGTTTCTACCGTGAAGCAGTTGTGTTTGTATGGCTATGATATGTTTGAAGGGTGGGATATGGCGTGAATTTACTAGGTATAGAGGAATAACACCTGAGTCGTCGAATGGTAACGCATGGGGGGTATCATGGGCGAGACAGTTACCTCCATGGTATTGCTCATATCTATAGGTGACGGTTACCACTTTCCATTAGGTGGGCCGTCAGCTTGTTTGCCATTCTAAGTTGCATAAAAAATACATTCATAAATGATGAGAAATTAGAAAGTCACACAAAAAAAAAATGCGTCATCGTGTGATTTTGCTTTTAAAGAAGCAATTTTTTGCTGCGTAAAGCAATACTTCTTTAGTAACTGGCGACGGTTACCATTTTCCAACACGTAGGCCGTCAGCTTATTTGCCATTCTAAGTTGTATATAAAAAAAATTTACGGACGGGACAAAATGAGACGGGAGTAATTCCTTTCGAATCGATGAAGTAATCTAGCCGAAAAAATCAGAAGAATTAAGGACCGAATTGATTTGAACCTCTTTCTTTGATAAATCACTTAAAAAAAAAATTAAGGTTATTTAATCCTGATATAACGGTCGTGGGCGCCCATTACTACCAATTTACGACCGAATGGACCGCAACAGACTGCAAATAGCTCTTTAATTGAAAAAAAAAATCTATTTCAAACACAACCTTAACGGTTTCGGGGATGGTTTCTTCTATCGTTTTTATTCTACATATAAATTTATGATTTAAACACCAGCGCGTAAGATTGTAATTCGAATGGATAGATTTTGAAGTTGGAATATAATTGCTGATTAGTCACAGTAAAAGTTGATCAAGTTTATAATGGACAGTTGGATAATCGATTAGTAACGATTTGGTTGTTGACAACCCTACATTATGTTATCATGACAGGTTGTTTTATTTGTTTTTTTTTTATGACTAACTATTAAACCGATTCGTTTGATTACTTCATTCGTCATTTTTAGGGTTACGTACCAAAATGGTACAAAGGACTTTGTCCGTCCGTCTACCCGTCTGTCACAGCGTGAGACCCCATCCACTAATAATGATATCGATTTGAAATTTGAGATTTGTGACGAAACTTTATCGAACATCCATTGATTCCCTATAAAACATTTTAAGGTCCTTTATCAAGTCTGTGCCTTACATT